CTTGTAAAGTTATTGGAATGTAGTCAAGTTTTTCATCAGATCGTAATTGCAGTTTGGAAAAGGTACTAATAATTGAATTAAGCCATGATTCAGCTTCAATTCCTCCAGAATACTTTGGTAATGAATCGATGGTTCGGACCAGATCTCTGTTCGAATCCTGCTTAAAGACCTCATTTGTTGCTATTTGAGATTTTAGATTATCTGATGTTTTTTGTTGATGATCGTCTGTTTCTGCTAACGAATTAATATCCACTGATAAAACAATAGAAGGGAAAAAATGATTTTGTAATTGATGTTTAAAGACCTCCCAGTTATTAACAAATAAAGATATATTATCTTTGTACCATTTCTGTAATTCCATATCAAGGAATTGAGCAGCATGGCTAGTCCAAACATGTTCAAGATATTTCATCTTCGAAAAAGCTCGCTCGACGGATTGGATCCATGGATTGAAAAGATCCGGTCTTGTATGATCAAGTGTTTTGATCGTTTGAAGAATCTTGTGTGCTACTTCTTCTTGTCGTTCTTGATATTCTTCTAACTCCTTCACGAATTCGGGATCTTCATCGTCAGTTGATGCTATTAATCCATATGATGTTGATCCTGATGTATGCGGCATTATTGCGTGAACAGATTGTCGTTTTTTACGAGGTAGGTCTTGAAGACAATTTTGTCGAACTGTTTCTTTACTTCTATCAATTCGAGATCGTGAAGATCTTTGATCCATTCATTTTGAATAGATTGTGATTAAAAGATTTACAGGTAAGTATGTGTTTATTGAAAATAAATACGAATCCGCTTCGATTCTGAGTAGGGGAATTACGATTGGATGAAGTTATTGACAGAAAGATTTGTCACAAATTTAGCATACACAAATAAAAATACTAATCAAATCTAACATACCTTTTGTAATTACGACAATCTTTTTTCTTTGTTTTCTTTTTTTTTTATTTTTACTTTTTTTTTTATAATTACGTGTTGTTAATTTAATGCGAATAAGATACTACACGACTAATGTCGTAAGTAATTACGATTAACGATAATAATCAGATGAAATAAATGGAACAACGATAGAAACGAGAAAGAAGATCAAGATGTTCGAAAGAAAATGGCCAGGCCCCCAACTGTCAGCTCTCCTATCCTTCGGTGAGTCTAAATAATGGAAAAACTCTAGAAACTAGGTCTACCCAGGCCCGTTAGTGGATGATATCACTCAGCGAGGAGATAAGAGGGACCACAGTAAAAAATACCTAATGAAAAGCGATCGAGTGTGAAAAAACGAATATATTTTGAAAAGATGTAAAATACGAATGACTAACAACAAGCCAGACTGACAAACTAAGAGATTATATGTATATAAGACGAGAAAAAACTAGAACAAAAATGAACATATATATAATCTATATGTGTATAGTAAAGGAAAATTGAAAAATAAAAAATAAACTAAACACAAAAGCGAAACAGTCTGTGACGAAGAAAATGAATGTATATATTCACTAAAGAAAAATGAGTACTGACTAACCTTTTAAAGAAAACTAACTGTCGTGTGAAAATAAAGAACTGTAAGTGAAAACTGTAAGTGAAAATAAAGAAAGAAATCGTGAGGAAAGAAGACTCGAAAGGATCTGAGAACGAGATATGGCTAGACCTCTACCTTCTAGAGTCGAGTGGAGGATCCTTACATATCAGTTTTGCTCCGAGTCTCACGACTGGTATTACCGTGGTCTCGGACAACCACTAAAGTAAATGAAAATACAGCTTGTCGACTAAACTGAATCTCGCGACAATGTTTCTTCTCAGAAAAACGTGAATAAACCTAGTGAAACAGAGTCTGAGGAAAATACATCAATTTAACTATAATCGCACAACTATAATCCCATGAAATTTAACATGGAATAGCAACAAGCTCCTGTGGACGTTATACTGCACAAACGTTTGAGTATAGCATAACAAACTCTAGTTCTAAGTATAGTAGCTAAGCTAACAAAAAGACATCTACTTTTCCACTTGTTTTACGAAAAATATGTTTCTTTCTGTTTTAGGTTATACAATGAGCTATGTGACGTGACATTCATGATGATATTGCTAAATGTGCGGTTTATTAACTTTAAGTGCTCTACGGCATTATCCTTATATTCAACATTCATTGCAGTAGTCTTATATCTGAACTATTAGCTTATTGGAAAGAGATATTGTTCGTAAGTCTAAACTTTTAAATATTAATTCTGATATTTATAAGCATTCTATTTCTACGGTGGTAATAGACTTGGAGTACATTTAGTCTACAGACAGTAGGCAATTAGGGCTAGTTATAGGTCTCCCTACTTGAAACTGAGATCTTATTATAGAAAACGAAAACAACAGGAGCAAGATTGATCTCCCATCCTGCAGTAGGAATCCATTGACAGATTGATCTGGATGGATAAGAAATTCATAAGACTCATGTAAGAGCCTGATAATAGTAACTAAATAATGATTTTCAATTCTGATCAGATTCTTATTAAATTCTTGAAAAAACCCTATTACCATCTCGCAAGATTCTGTCAAGTATCTTATGCAATTCTAGAGTAGTGTCAGGTTTCACAGTTTCATGCAAATTCCAGAATTCAGCTAAATTCAAAGCATCGCTACTCACTCTCGTTTCTGGTAAATCCAGAATTTAGTCGGATTCTAAACAGAATCTTATCAACACTATATGGCAACATGATGATGAAACCGTCGATCTCTATTAGAGATGAGATGAAAGAATAACGTTATATTTCTTCGTTCTTTTTGTCTTGTGCCTAGTTATTATAGTTTTCTTTCATTGTTACGTTTGATATATAGCATGACATACGTTCTTACGAAAAAACAATGCTAAGGCGAAACTTTCACTTTCATTGATTTCATATTTCTTTCTTTTTTCCTTTTGTCTATTCGTAAGACACATTAAAGAAAGAAATGAAAGTTTTATGTGAGGCAGAGAGAAACAGGCAAACAGCAAAGAAATCAGATTTCACAGAATTTGTTTTAAAAAAATGCTTTATACATTCTGATAACCATCTGATATTTCCTTTCTGCTTGCCTATGGGTACATCATCATTGTCTCACATTTCATGCTTTTTACCTTCTCCGGAGTTAACACAAAGACAAATTTCAGTCAACTTTTCGGTCTGCAGTAACGTGATCTTTTGGCTAAATTTTGAACATAAATCACAGATTTGAGCTTCTTTTTCTTTTAACTGCTGGACGGTTTGTTAAAGTAGAATGAAAAGAAGAACTCGTTTGTGGATGGAGAAGTGGCTTGCTGTGTCATTTATGTAGGAGATGGCGTGCAGGTAGTAGTAGACATACGAACGGTTTAGACAAAACTTTTCACAAATCGGGAAAATTTATCTGAAGGAGCTAGGGTGAGAGAAGCAGGATCCAGAAAAATGTAACAGTAGTTGTAAATGTTGTGCTTTGTTTTCCTTCTAACTTTTGACATTTCTTTTTTTCCTTGTTCAAGGCTCTAGTAAAATATAACGCCTCATACACATGTCAAAATCAAGAGTGACTCATACTTTCACAAATTGTGAAAGTTTGTCTATTCACTTTCTCTTTGTTTGAAAATATATCTAGACACTTTCATGATAAATGAAAGTTCGTAAAAACGAAACAGAAATGAATAGTCACAAGATATTTTCTTTTCCATTTCGTCGCGTGTCTATACAAGAAAGGATAGGAAAGAAAAAACGTCAGCGGTCACTATATATAGCGTACGTTAGTGAATTCTTACGAACACGGTCTCATCTCTAGTCTCTATCTGATACGCGTCAAAAGATAGTTAAAATCCAGTGGGATAAAACGTCCGCTTCTCCAGGGTCTCTTATGCTGTGGGTAGAACCATCATTCACACCCCTTGTGAAGCCGAACACAATCAAAATTCCTGTTCTGAGAAAAGGTCTCGCTGGATGTGGCAGTTCATTTACTTTAGCTACTTTAAAATAATAGAACGAACTTTGTATTGTTAGTCATTTTATAACTTCATATCGAAAATTTAAATATATGCCTACAGAATTTCAAGTTAGAAGAGATGTGTGGACAAAGTGTCTAAAGACGAATTGATGAATCGCAACTTTTAAGCGTAAAAATGATGCAACAATTCGCGTTTTACCCTTATTTTGCGAATTCGTACCGAATTGATGCGAACTGTATCGAATTCGTACGGATACTCTTAAAAACTTTTACGAATTCTTCTTGCGAATTCGTAAACAGAGAATAGATCAAACACGATGCTGATCAATTCGCAAATAATTCGTAAAACTAGTTTACGAATTCGTGTTCACTGTTTTTGGAACTAGATTGATTCGTAAATACGAATTAGCAAATTCGTATTACGAACTGATCCGGTTGAAAATGGATCCACGAATTGACAAAACCCATTCTACAAATTCATTGCGAATCGGTGTGTACGCTTAATAGGCTACGTAGGGACAGGATACATTTCTCTGAGATTAAAAATAGATAGATTCGTCTCTTCTCATAGATTCGCATACTTCTCAAACCAATTCGCCGTTATTCTTACGACTTCGTAAAATACGTCATGTTGTGTAAATACTCACTGCCTCCCCCCCGCTCGACACATGCACACAAAAGTGAGAGAGATTCCCCTGTGTTTTGTTTCGCACAGATACATGTATTAATATAGTCTATTGTCACATGTTTGGATTAATTCATTCAACTGACCAATTCGTATTCTACGAATTTGTAAAAATAACGGCGAAATGAGGTGAGAAGTATGCGAATCGATGAGAAGAGTCGAATCTATCTATTCTTAACCTCAGAGAAAAGTGTCCTGTCTCTAACATCAATTCGTATTTTACGAATTCTATTTATGAATTCGTCGGTTATGCTTTGGCATCTATGAATTCGTAAATAGAATTCGTAAATTCGCATTTTATCGTATTTTTGCCAATTTATGGATTGGTACACGAATTCTTAGAGACCAAAATGATCATTTCACGAATTCGTCGATGGTCGACCAATTCGATTTACGAATTCGTAGGTACCGGAAATTTCTTTCTTATGAATTCGTCCTAATTTACGAATTGGCAAAAGGAAGAAAAGACGCAATTTTTTGGTTCGGTTTTGATCATTTGTGTTAGTTCGAATCAGTTCGCATTGAATTATGAATTCGCTACGAATTCGCCAAACAATGGTAAAACGCGAATTGTTGCATCATTTTTACGCCCAAAAATTGCGATTCGTCAATTCGTCTTTAGACACTCTGTCCACACTAATGAGTTAGAAAGAGAAAGCCTTTCTCTTCCCTCGAGGGAATGAGACATCCTATTCTTAAAAGACTACATAGGTATAACAAGATTCATTTTGAACATTGTAGAATAGGATTTTGGCGATTAAACGCAGATTTATTTAGTCATACATTAGTACCGACAAATATATTTAGATTTTGAGAAAGTCAAAGGTATTTATTGCGCAATTGTGAAATTTATTGAAAAATCTGTTCATTTTGGGACATAAATGATATTATTCTTCGTTACATAATTTTCTGTTTCCTGCATATGCTGACACAGAAAATCTCGCCTTCATCGTTACTATAAATCTTGTTGTTCAACTATGTTTATCATTTCTATCTCGTTTTTTTCTTTCTTTTGATTTCTGATATAGATCTCTGTTTTTTTAATTTGAGTCATGCCTGCTTCTTCTCCTGCGTTATTTTGTAGCCTCTCTTCTTCTCTGCAGTAT